TTGGCGATGGTGGCCGTCTTGCCGGTGCCCGGCGGGCCCTGGATCAGGCTGAAGGGCTGCCCGACGGCCGCCTGCATGACCCGCAGCTGGGAGGCATTGGGCCGGCTGATGCCCGGGGCGTGGAAGTCATCGGCCATGTGCAGAGGGCAGAAGTCCTTCGCCAGGTCCTCGGCCATGCGGCGACTCCCCAGCACATGCCCGGTGAGGGCCGGGTCCAGGCCGTCGCCCTGGGCAAAGCGCTCCAGCGCCTCGAGAACGCGCAGGTACGGCAGCGGATTCTCCACCGCCTTCACCGTGAAGCCCATCGCCCGAGCGAGCAGCGGCTCGTGCTCCGGCAGGACATGCCGCAGCAGGACCCGGACCCTCTTCGGCGCGTCTGTGAGGGCAGGCCCGGCCATGACCGGTGGCGCGTCTCGGTCAGATGGCCAGCCAGCCGGGCGCGAGGAAAGAGAAAGGCCCCCCCCCTGAGCCGCGCACGGGCACGCACCGCCGGAGACGCCGAGCACCTTGACGAAGAGGCCCACGTCGCCGCACGCCGGGTGGCCGATGGTCAGGAAGCAGCCGACCTTCACCCGGAGCGCTGACCAGGTCGCCAAGCACAGCGTCCGGCAAGGCCCGGCCAGCCGGCCGGGGGGGGGGGGGCACACGCAAAAGCCGGTCAGCGCACTGGACCCAGTCAAAACAGCCCCGGCCGCCCCGGGCCACGCGCACGTACAGCTGCCGGCCTCCAGGAACACATAGCTGTCCTGGTGGCGATCCAACTTGGCCACGACCCCTTGGTCGAGGCTGGAGGAGGTCTCCTTGCTGGCATTCTCCAGCTCCAGCTTCACCAGCGGCAGGAACACCCGGTGGTAGTGCTTCGCCGAGAGGAAGCTGCACGGACAGGTCGGTCAGCGGGCAAGCCGTCGCTCGGCGGGGCGGGTGGGCGGGCCGGGGACCTGTCTACACGCACACATCCGGCACCTGCGGGTGCGAGGGCCGGTCCTCCGTCGCGGGGCCGGGCTCCGGCGCGCGGGCCCCCGCCTCGGCCAATGCCGCCCGCCTGGCGGCCCTCATGCAGCACCTCGGCCACACCTGCCGAGGCCGAGCCGCAGGGCCGGCCGAAGTCCATTAGTACCGGCACCCGCCCGGGCTGGCGAAAGTCCACCCCCGGGCCGTACCTTTGCCTCGCGCGAGGGCAGCAACTCGCCCGCGATGGCTCTCGGCCCCACCACCGCCGACCAGGACATGGGCCAGTCGGCGGCCTGGTACTCGCCGATGCACGGCTCGCAGCACACCACCGGGCCCCGGCCGAGGGAGGTGCTGACGGAGAGCCGCCAGATGTCGGGCGCCTGGCAGACGGTGCACTCGATGGGCTGCCGGCCCAGCGGGTGCCCCCGGTGCAGCCGCAGCGAACGGTGCTGCGCCCCCAACAAGGGGGGCCCCACCGTCTGGGGCATGGTCCCGCGTCAGTCGGCCGCCACGCGCGAACCCCGGCCCCGGGCACTTGCCCCCTCGACGCACCTTCTTCTGGGCCAGGTGCCAAACGAGGTGGCTCGGCTGCGCGGGGTTCCAGGTGCCGTTGCAAAACCACCGCCGGCAGTCGCCGCACTGGCCCAGGCACTCGGGGTCGGTGCTCTGGCACATGCCGCAGGCCGCCGCGGCACCCATGTCCTCGGCGCCGGCCTGGCTGGCCGGCACATCGGCGCCGGCCTTCCACTGGGGGCAGCAGGCCATGTGGCGAACGCCCTCCGCGGCCATGGGGCTGGCCCGCGGCGCGGCACGGGTGACCGGGCCGGCGGCCGGGATCAGCTCGGCCCGCGCGCCCGCCTGGCCGACCGGCGGAACGCCCAGCGTGGTGAACAGCGCGTCGAGGGCCTCCGCCAGTGGGCCATACCACTCGAGCATGATCAGGAGAATGAAAAGCATCGTGTCAATGGGTGCTTGGGTGCCTGTGTGTGTGTGTGTGTGTGTACCAGAGCGCGGAGGGGCCCAACGACGAGCATGCACTCTCAGCAAGGCGCAGGGAGGCAGATGAGCGGGCGGCAAAGAGCCGAGACGCAGGGGAGAAACAGGGGAGGGGCCGACGAAAGCCTGCACATGCGCCGACACGTTGGTGTGACGAGGAGCGCGGTCATGCCCGGGGCCGCGGGCCGCCCTGCCAAGCCGTGCCGCCTTAAGTAGCCGGGCCCCCGGCCGAGTGCCTTGCTACGCGGCCGGTGCCCCCCCCCCCTGCGCCGGGTCGCCCTCGCGAGGCCGCCGCCTCCTCCC